TTGTATTTTTTGATATGTCTTATCCCTCCCAGCTCATATAGTTCAAAAAGGAAGAAACGTCCATTTTACTCACCAAATGAGAAGCATGATGCCTGACAGAATTTTTAAAACTCAAATATTGAATGACTGAATGATTGAATGATTGAATGAATGAATATGTTGTACTCAGAAGAAATGACAATCCAGGAGAAAAGAAGGTGGCAGGTAAAGGAAGTCAAGCTGACCGTCACAGCAAACATGGCTAATGAAAGGAAAGTGTACCATACCCCAACCCACATACCAAACCAGCTCCGCCCGACAAGGGCCACACGAAGCCTGAGGTATGCTCTTTGACTTAAGCACAGTCCTTACCTTCTTAAAATAAAATTTCCCCTGAGGGTAGCAAGATGAATTTAGCCATGCTTCTATGCTGTGCCCCCAGGAACCTGGGGAAACAGGCAAATGCAAAGAACAGGAGTGTAGAAGGAAGGATAGAGTAGAAATAAAACAGGGGAATGAAGAAAACAGAAGAAAAAAGAATGAAGAGCTAGGGGTCACTTAACTCTCATTAAAAAAAAAACTTTATGCAAAGTATCAAAACTAGCTCTGGCTGGATGCGGTGGTGCATATCTATAATCTCGGCTCCTCAGAATATATCTTAGTGCTTCAGGTTCAAACTCTGGAGCCTCAAAAAAAAAAAAAAAAAAAAAAAAAAAAAAACCAAAACAGATCTTCTGTTTCTTGAGTCATCACTGCATTTCCTACTCATTTTTCCAAAATAGGCTACTCAGGCTTGTGTTCCACACTGGAGCAGCCACAAAACAGCCTAACAAAGGAATATGTTGCATTCTGTATTAAAAACATTTAAAGAATGAAGATAGGGAAGTGATGCACTATTAAGGAAAAAAGTCTACATTATATTGCAAATTGAGGAAAACAAGTTGCAGAAGAGTCTCCTTTCCTGAAGAAAAAGAACAAGGGAAAGACCGGGAAGGAAAGGAAGACAGGATTTTTTACAAACCTGGTTCACTCCTCTGCTCAGTCTAAATGATGTCATTGCTTTTGAAAGGCCTACCCTGACTACTCCTGGGTTCTCTAGATCCTCATCCTGCCACATTTTTCTTCATAGAAGTCACTATGATGTATTTCATGTTTGTCTTCTTTTACTGTCTCTCCCACTCTGCTATAAGCCCCACAGGGACAGAGTTTGGTTCTCCCCTACATCCCCAGCAACTGGAATGAAGCCTATCATACAGCAGATCTTCAGAGCCTAGCGTGCAGTAAGCCTTTGCAAATTAAATTAATAGGAACATCAAAGAGTTAAGTTATAGTGGGTGGAACAGGCACTGAGGAGACTGGATAACATATATTTTATTTTCATGCTTCATCGGTGTTCTGCTTTGTGCTAAAATATAACTTTCCCATTAAAAAAATTATAAATCAACTATGAGCGGAAGGAAGGTCTTTCTTTCTTCAGAATGAGCTGCCTGCCACCTATTGTGTAACTTCGTAGCACCAAACAGAGTGAGGGCCAGTCCTTCATCCTCACGACAGTCTCTCCTGCCGCGTGAGTTCTTCCTGCAAGCAAACTCAGACCAAAAAAGATGGACACTACATAAAAGACATGTGTTAACTCAGAAGGACAAAATGAAAGGATACATTCAGAAATGCTTTTAGGATAGAAATTAGGCTTGTACTGAAACAATCCAATAAATGAAGCAATTACTAGAGCACTTATAGGAAAGTTTTTGTATTACTAAGAAAAAACACATTGATCATTATGTCTTCATTGTTTGGGAACCAAGGCCTTCAGCCCTCTGTGTGTCCGAATGGACTTGGTATATCTTCCTTAAAGCAGACATCTCTTGTAGAGCTTACAGTTTTCCTAATTTGCTTTATCACCAAAGCAGGATCCCAAATGCCACCACTACTTACATCCCTTCCCAGTCTGCAACCCTGGTGGCAGAAGCCCCGTGGCTGGTCACAGCAGTGGGTCCCGCACACGTAGCTTAGTCCATACACTGTGGACTCACAATAGTAGTCCTCTCCTCAACAGGATCATGTGTCTCCCAAACAACTCTCTACATTCAGAAAAAACACACATTTGCAGGTGATAAATTTCTAATGAGCTGACTCACAGCTTCATAAACCAGGGCAAGGAATGTGTTCTCCTTCCATTCCTCCATGCCTGTCACCCCTATGTAAACCCATAGCTTCAATTCTCACCTTTGGGAAAACATCTTTGAAGTTAATTATCTTTGATCCTGATTCTCTTCCCAGCTCTGGGCCATAGGCCCACCCAACTGCAGCCTCTCCACAGAGAAACTGTGCCTGGACCACCAGTGTACACTTCTCCATGCACCCTTTGGGGTCTTTCTCCTATCTCACTCCTCTCTCATCCCTGCTGCTATAACACACCCACAAGGATCCTTCCTCCTTGGCCTAGGCCCTTTGCCTTGATCTTGCACCACAGTCAGCCCTTTCTAGAGCCAAGTTTAGCAGTCTGTTCACAAGTCTCAATTCCCAGGCTAAACTGAAAGCTCTTCTACTGCAGGACCCAGGGTCTTCTAACTCTTCCTTCCACAAGGCTTTGCAAATAGTAGGTGCAAAAGAATGAACGAAGACAATCTGCACCACCACAACTAGAAGGAACAAAGGACACTCACGTTTTAGTAGACCCTCCCTTTGAATACTTTCTTATTAACATTCACTCTGAGCAACAATGTACCAAATAGTGCAGATATTGCTGCCTCTAATTCTATTAATAATAGACATTCAATACTGAGACTGTGTCATGCATGGTGATAAGCGTATAGGGGAACTGTAACATTTAATCTTAACTACCACCCTATGAGATAAGTAATATTAAAACCCAATTTTATAAATAAGTCAGCTAAAGCACAGAGGAAAAATCAAGTAACTCCCTTGGCTTCAAGGAGTTTAGACTAGCATGCACAGATGAAGGCGCGCGCGCACACACACACACACACACACACACACTATGAAAAAACGACTGCAAGGAAATCACATGTATACAGGATTGTATGAAAAGGACATGCCTCAGACTAAAGGTCAGTGTGCTTCCCTACAGAAGCCACAAGTATCAGAAGGCTTAGAAAATCAGAATAAGCTAACAAAAGCATATCAAGGGACTAGGCTAGCCTTGGGAACTCATGGCCCTATAAGAAATCAGGCACTAATAACAGAAAAAAAGAACTTTCTTATACAGATTACCTGTCCCCTGCAATTGTCTCGTACACCGGAAATGGAGAAAACCTACTTCATTCAGCCCACTTAGGAACTAGGAGCTAGGTTAACCCACCAAGCAGAGTTCCTATTTTCTATTCACATTTAAACACAGGTTTTCAGGATCCCCTTATAATCAAATCCCTTATGGAATTCTACTGTAAAAGAATCACTCTAGGGACCATATTATTTTAAGAACTTCACAACCAGGTATTAGTAAAACATGATGATTGGTATGGTAGATTCCAATTCCCTGAAAGGCAGAGACATTCCCAGACTCCTACAGGACAGCTCCATGTCAGCAAGTCAAAGGAGGGTTTGTGTCGGAGTGGTAATAACTGTAATTGGCAATTCCTTGGGCCAGCCCAGGCCATAGTGTCACTTTCTCTCGAGAACAAAATGGGATTTTAAAATATGCAGCACCTGTGACATGATTCTGTGGTGATTTTTTTTTAATTTCCTTTTTCTTTTTCCTTTGCCGGCAACAAAACAGAATCATACCAAGCCCTTTCTTGTCTAAATTCTGTCTCCTTTACCATACCCAGTGTACTATAAATATATACAGCTTTTGTGACATCAATGCAAAGTTTTATTGTGCTGTTAGCTTTGATAGAAAGCACTGCAGAAAGTTGTTTAGAAATTAAATATCTAAAACGGGCTATTTTAAAATCCAAGGCCCTCACTATTTCATGTCTGCAATGAAGAAATTTCATCTTGGGGAGAGCAAGCTGTCTTTCACACCATATGGCTAATGGTGGTGCATAGCAATTAGCCAGGCTGATTAATGGTGAACAGACTCTAATTTTATGCTTATAATTGAGCCTGCATTTGCACCCCTGGTGCAAATTCAGCACATCCCAACTTCCACTTACAACAGGCAAGAAATCAAGAGAAATAGGATGGTGTGGAAAGTGAGAATTTTTTTCCTAAAGCCCCCTAAAGAGCATCAGATTTGCAATTTAAAAGACTGTTAGCCACACAATAGATGACAGGTTTGTGTAATGGGGTCATGGCGGTCTGGTAAACAAACAAGCACCCCCTACACATCTATAGGCAGCTAGAAGAAATGGTAATCTGTAACATTAGCTGGGTGACATTTGGAATATGGGTTTTCCCTTTAGGCACACAGTACAACAGCATCATTTGCCTTCAGTGGCTTGAAATTTTTATTTTTGCCATTTTTATGTTCTGAAAAATAGAGATAACATCAGCAGTAAAGCACACCGACCAGCATAATAAAGCACTTCGGACCAATGAATTTTAAAAACAAGAAAAATATAAGTTGCCTTAATAGAGGGTAGGCCTGTGTGTGAAAGTCATAATATATATATATATCGTTAAGTGTTTCAAGAATAGAATTATTTTTGAAATAACCAAAAAAAATTGAAAGAAGGAAAAAACTACTGGCTCAAAAATATTTTACAAGTCCACATATACTTCAGAAAAATAAAATAGTGAAAAAGGCACTTGAGATATGTATATATATATGTATGTATGCATGTATGTATCACTTGGCATATTGGTTAAGATCCATCCTCCTGTCTATTTCCTACTTTGCTAGAATCACAAGTAGTAGAACATGGAAAATTTAGTCTAACAGCATGCTAATTATAGGAAGCTACCATAATAGTTGATTGAAAAAATAGGGGATTTAGCTCAGTGGTTCCACCGCCTGCCTCACAAGTACAAGGACCCGAGTTCAATTCCTAGTAAGAATTAAAAAAAGAAAGAAAAGGAAAAACAGTAAGATAAAGGGACCATGTTTCAATGCTTTTCAAAATGAATTTCACTCATTTAATTCTGAAAGGTACAACTCAAGCTTTATTAAATGATTGCTATATAAAGAATAACCTTAATTTTTTGCCTAGTAATATAAGAATCCTATGACCATATTTTGGGGTTCTGTTACAGCCTTAAAGTTAGAGAAAAACAACCTGTTTCAGGGATAATTAACAAGTTTTATAAATAACTGAAGTGAAAACTTGTGACACTTCTGCATATTTTAGGATAACATATAAGAAGTATTTTTTAAAGGGAAAAATGAAATTTTTATAGACATAGAAGTTAATATTTGCAATTTTACTCAAGAAGCACATTAAGGCCCTTTGACTTTATTTCCACCTGTAGAGTTTTAAGATCATTTTCCCCACAAGGCCATGAGCAGCAATCAAGGCCACCCATGCCGAGGTGGCGGCTGAAGCCCTAAATGGATTGGTCAGGAATAGTCAGCAGCCGAGCATGCTTTGTGCCAGGAAAAGCTGCACAGCTAACAAAGCAATTAGTAGCCTTTCTCTGAATCACAGTGGCATCTTCGTGCTTTATCCAATTACTAGGAATAGTCTGGGAGCAAAGTGCTGATGTTATTTTATGAAAAATAAGAATACAAGTTAAAAGGCTGTTGGCTGGACCAGTCCCTTACATGTGGAGGCCTCACAGAAGCCAGGGTGGTGAATGTGGTCCTCCTGCGTATTTTCTAATGTAGTGTCAGTCTGATTACAGGCAAAAACAAAAATGCTCATTTCTAATATGAATTTTTATACTTTTCAGGAACTCATCTTTGCCATCCTTGCAGAAACACAAAACTCACTGTCTCTAAGAAATATTAGTCACACTGTCAGGTATGCACGGGGGAACTAAGAAATCAATGGCAAGGGGTGGAAGAAGAACGAAAAGAAAAACATCACACTCAGTGTGAGGAGAAATGATGCCTAAGGAGAACAAAAAAGAAAAACATCACACTCAGTGTAAGGCAAAATTCATATTTGTAAGCAGTAGAATTAAAAAGGGGGAGCTACAATTTTCAACTTTGCCCAAACAGAAGCCGCTGCCGACTTCACTAGAACTCTTCTTACTCATTTTACGGGCAAAGCAGTAGAATCCATTTAATAACAGTAAGTTGGTTGTACTGCACGTTATTTAATTGTAAAGGAAAGGGAGACCATTAGCAGGACGGTATCATAATGAAAATAAACATCTTTCAGGATGAAATGTAAGAAATAATTCAGAACTATTATGATACCTGACCCTTTGCCACCAAATACTCATATCTAACAATTCTTTTATATTATCTACTAGAAGATAGACAAATGCATAACCAAAAATAGTCCTGAGTTCACCTACATTCAAAGTACAAATTCATCTTCTCTTTGCTAATGAAAGAGAAAGACCAAGGTATTTCTTACCTGCACATGATCTCATGCGTGAGCAAGACTCGGCACATTTCAGGGTTCTTGTCTTGGCCTTCATACACTATGGCCTGAAAGCAAAGGCATGGTTTCAGCTAAGTAGCAGAACACAACTATAACTACTGAGTTCTTGACCCATTCATCACTGCTGAAGGCCAGTGAGCTGTTGGGAGCCAACAGCCTCACTGAGAGGACTGTTTCAAAATACATGGTTCAGCATCAACCCAAACTGTGTGGAACGGGATATGATCCTCTTGGCCCTGTCAACCACCTTATTAGAATGCACATCTCTAGATCAGTGTGATGGGTTTCTGTTGTCAAGACAACCATAATTCTCCTTTCAATACAGAATAAAAATAAGCCTAATCAATAAGGAGGAAAAAGCCAGAAGGCTGAGTAGATTGAGAAACTACTGATCTAAAATATAGAACAGCAGGCAAGCTTAATATTTACTTTATTTTTCCCCGTTAAGTTTATTGGTACATTTAAAGCAACCAGTACAGTTACATTTGAATGATATGCTTTTGCCTATCGTTGACTACTTCCAGCCCCAACATTTAGCGTTTCAGCGGTAAGCAGCATAAAACAAGTGTGGGTGAAGCAAATGAGTCCATTCACTCACAGTGTCATTTTTCTAAGTGATTCATCAACCAGGGAAAATCCCTCTTCCCACCAACAGGCTGAAAACATGTGCTCTCCAGGGGTGTACACCCACCCCAACAAGAATGCTCACCAGCATCTGCTGAGTGGGAGCTGTAAGCCATAGAGTTATCTCCCTAAACTACGAAGAATTACATCCCACTCTCAAAATCTGGAATCCTATACCACCTCAGCAGCCTTTGTACTTTATAGACGGTGTTTGAGCCTACTTTTTATATTGTGTGCACAAACATTTTGCTTCTGGACACCAAGAAGTCCTCCTGAGAACTCCGCTTCCTAGGGACCTACATGTTAATACCTGAGCCAACAGAAAACACAAAGCTATTAGCAGAGCAGTGCTCCGAAATGGGATACATTTAGCTGATTTAACACTGTATCACTGCATAACACTAATATAACATAGCTTCAAATTGTTAATAAAATTATTTTCACACATTCATATAATTCTCAATTTCTTGGTGACAAAACTACTTAAATTAACCTGAGACTGTTCTTACGTAATACATAAAGATGTTACAGCGACTGGTAGTTGGTTCTAATGTGCTTTGTTTTTTAACCTGAGACTTCCAGAAGCTATTATGATGGGCGCTGCTGAAGGCTCAGCATGTCTTGACCCTTGGACTGGGCTCAGGGTCTGACATCTGACCACAGGACAGAACAAACTCAGCAGCAAATTAGCATTGAGGAAAGTAACTTGCATAAGGAAAAAACACACAGTGTACCCTTGAGTTACAACTGGCCTGACATACAAACAACCTGGATTATGACCCAAACTTTAGTCTAATTTACAGTCTTGAGTTATGACCTAAATGCTGGTCACTTGTACTTCCAGATGGTCTCAGATACAGATTTAACCCTTAAAGGGCTCTGGGAGGACTATTACAACATCCTTTCCTGAGTGGGGTTAATTAAGAAATCCTGGGCCAATGTCTCTCTAAGAACACAGATCCGCCTGTGTACAGGAGAGAGACTTTGAAGGTTTTGTAGAGGAGCCTGAGCCTTCAGTGACCGACTTCTGTTACAACCAGCCCTCAGGAAGGAATTGAGTTCAAAAGTCAAGGGTCCACGGCATTACCATTGTTCATCAAAACCATTTTTATGGCTAGCCTATCACAATCCTGTATTGTTTCAAAAAATATTTTTATTTTGACATATTTGTAGACTTACGGAAGAGTTGTAAGAATATATAACAAAGCCCATGATGTTCGTACTCATATCCCTCAAATGTGTTTGTGTTCTAATAAATGCGCTTTATTATTTTCTTTTTTCCCTAAATGACCTTTCAGTAAACTGCAGACATGTCCTGAATATTTCAGGGTATTTCCTTCAAACAAGCAGTCCTCTTACATAACCACAGTATAATGATCTAAATCAGAAAATTAACATGGATGCAATGCAATAATCTAATCTCTAGACCTTATTGAGATTTATCAATTACCCAATAATGTCCTTTACAGCCAAAGAAAATCCAATACTAATCACTGTATTGATGCGTTATTTCTCCTTTAAAATGGGATGCTCTAGAGTGTTTTTTATTTTGTCACATTTTTAAAGAATGCAGGTTATCTTCTAAAACATTCCTCAGTTTGAGTTTTCCCAGGCAAAGAGTGAAGTTTTGTGTCTCAAGAATAGCGCAGAGGGATACTGAGTTCCCATGTTCCAGGTCTTGCTGGAAACATAAATTTTGACCATTTGCCTGCTCTCCACCAGAGATCACTAGCCAAGTTTTGCCCTATACAGTTATTACCCTTGCCTATGCGATTCATAGCTACCTTCTGGGGAGAAAATCTACATTATGCCTCAAATTTTCATCCACTGGATTTAACATGCATAAATGATTCTTTCTTGCATTCTTCTGTTTTTTGTTGTTGATATTGTTTTGTTTTGTTTTGTTCTGTTTGAGATGGGGTCTTTCTATGTAGCACAGGCTGGCCTCAAACTTGTAGCAATCCTCCTGCCTCAACCTCCTGAGTCGCTGGGATTACAGGGGTACACCACCATGCTCAGCTTTCTTGTATTCTTAAAAGACCTTTTTAAATACCCAAAAAATTGCTTTATTCAAGAAAATACATTAATTAAAAATTCTCTGAAAACCAAAAAATATATCTGCCTGTTGTATTTCCTGCAATCATTGCTGGAAATAAATTTTTTAAGTAAATTACTGATTAGATCTAACACATGCTAAAAAAAATGTAATGACGCATTTCTGCTAAATGCTATTGCCACAAAATTATTTGCATGTTCTCTTAATACTCTAGATAACCTCTGTTTCAACTTTAATACTTGTCTAGCCAAACTAAAACAAGTAACTTGGTAAATAAATTCACAGATATTGAGTTTTTTCCCTACTGTAAAAAAAAAGAGAACTTTGGGGTTTGGGGGTGTGAATTCCATCAGATCTTCTCATTCTGATTATTTCTGGATGTTACAGACATTATTTTTCTTTTTTTTTGGTTCCATCATAGTATCCAATTAAAGACATGCTGGAGCACAAATCTCCTTATGACTCCCCGAAGGAGTGGAGGATATGGACTCCCAGAAGTCCTATGTTTTGTCGTTCATAACTGAACATCATTTGTTTAAGGCCCAGAGCCTCTGTAATACATCTCTTTACAAAATACCAAACTGCCACTTCGTTTCTGGCAGCAGAGTCAAAACAGAGAATTTTTCTCTACATCAAGCATAGAAAAATGAAACCATGAGTTTGGATTTCTTCATAAATAATTAGGAACTCTAGAGAGGGCTAGAAGCATGAAGTTTCTGCTCTCCCTATCCTTAGGCTTAGACAGAACAATTTTCTCACCACATAAAGGCAGAGAAAGAAGTGTTGCTCCCATAACTTCTGAATGAAAACCACGTGAAACTCAGTCATGCACTAGGACTAAAGTCCTGTATCTCTAGTGAACTAGAGCCTCAAGAATTAGCTTTCACGTGAAGTTAAAAGTCAAAGGCAACTCCAAGCCCAGCCAAGTAGTTTTTGAAACTGGAAAGGCTTTTTAACACACACACACACACACACACACACACACAGAATGCATGGGCCCAGAAATCAACATTTTCATGTGATCCAGTATAGGAAAATTTGATAAATTTATATGGACAAATATCTCTGATAAAAAGTAGCAACAATAAGACAAGATTAAAAAACAAACATTCTTCCAAGGTCTCCCTCCAGCTTGCATCCCTCCAGACAGCCCCAATCAAATCTCTACCATCTACATTTAGTACACATGTCAGGACTGGCTCACCATTCAGCAAACCCAGACTGTAACCCAAAAGGCTACGTATCCTTTAACATTAACTTGAGGGGAACTTTCTGCTTTTCCTCCTAATTCATATGTGCTTCTGTAGGGTATGAGGAAAGCTGGTTGAGGTTGGTCAGATGGGAGATCCCAAGGAGCATATAAGACAGCACTGACCATTTTAAGAGAAACCATTTTAACAGACAGCTGGTTTAAGAACAGACAATGGAACACCAAGAAGAAGGCTTATTGTCATCCTCCATACTAAATCATGTGTCTGCTCACTGGGAGGAAGGTAGTCGGCTGCGAGAGCAACAAAGACAACAGTAGTTTAAATAAATCAATGTGTTTATCAGGAGTGAAGATGGAGGTCTGCTACAGAGATGGGCAGGAGAGGGACAGAAATTATGTAAAATATATTATTAATATAAATCAATTGATGAGAATCAAGTTAAGCTTTGAACCCTAAGAAATAAGAAATACAATTTCCTGTTGAAAACAGTGTTTACATTAATGCTGCCAAGAGCAAATAAATCCCTTAGGCATTAGGAATGCTTCCTTGTACAGAAAGAGATGTAAAATAGTAAGCAGCAATAACTTCATCTCAACTTTAAAAGCCTAGGTGAGATTGATAAATAAGTTGTCAAAACTGAGCATACTTTGAGCAGGCTTGTTTTCCTGATGTACAGACCTCCCTTTTCTAAATGTTGTCTACTAATAAGCAAATAGAAAATATAGGTATTACAAATTATTTTTTAACATTCTCTTCACTTTCAGGTTTTTTTCAAGAATTATTTAAATAATTAATGAAAGAAAAAAATAATAGCACGAGTTGTTGAAAATTTCACACCCTGACATAACAACACTACTGCATACTTTATTGTTAAAGGATTAAAAATGCTCCATCATAAATAAATCTGCAATATCTTTAAACACTAATCAGTCAGTCAATCTACTAAGGTACCCCTGTCACCACTGTTTTAGAAGGCATCTTTTGAACTGCAAGTATAGCCCTGCTTTCCTAAAGTATCACTAGTTCTCAAAAGTTGAGTGAAATTTAGGATGGGTAAAGACCGCATGGTAAAACAAAAAATACACAGTGCTTATATACTAACATCACACTTCAGTACCAGAGGAAGTACAATTGAGTATGGAATTTCTTCATTTAC